CATAAAAGTTTTATAAACAGAGTCGTTTGACAGCCATAGTACAGGGTGAACAGTTTTTGTGTTCCTTACACGTATTGCTTTGTTTGATTAAAGGCTCGGATTACGGTTGCTATTTCTTTTGATGGTTTAAAATAAATATATGTTCCATAACTTTCAAACATATTGACATAATAAATGCCAATATGATATTAATGGACTCTAATTCATATTTTTTATTCACTAATAAAGTATTGTTGAGCAAACACCAACAGCGATTTTTTTAACCAAATAGAAAGTCCAAAAAATCTCGTATAGGTAATATCGAAGTGTAAGTAAGGTATTAAATTATGTTTTGTGTGTGTGTGTGTCTGTACATATCTTAAAATTCTGGTAATATATTCCTGGAAAAAACGTCATGTTTATTCACTATCATTAATAAATTTCCCAAAGTTCATTAAATGATCTCATATTTCACCTTCTGTCTATGTAAGTTCATCTCAGTTGATATGCAAGTTTACGCTAGTATTCTGCTGACAACGTATATAGGTTCATTAATGGGAGTAAACTATACTTGAGAGAAGTTTGTTTGGAAAATTGTATCAACGATGTTATAATTTGTCCTTATCTAAATTAATAAGGTTAGATACATCAGATAGTTTAAGATTAGTGACGCTATTTTTAAACATACGGTTCAAGCAGAAGACCAGAGACTGATAAGACGGCCCACATATGGTAGTGCTTAGTAAGTAAAAGCTTACTAGGTATTTATTATTTAAAATTAATACAAGATAAGTAGACTGACACGACAAAATGGCGCTCTTATTTTCATATAATACAGATGTTCGTCTGATATAATATACTAAAGAAAGGGTTAGTGTCTGAAGTAGGCTGTTAATACCAACTGTGTGTTTTGAGCAAAATTAAAGTAGATTTCATAAAAAAAAAGTGCTCATACTGAATTAGCCTTAGTTACAAAACTTATTTCTCAGTGCCGCATCATACGCTTTTACGATTTGTCCTTCAGGCAGTTTAGTGTATGGATAGATTAAGAAAGTTAAATCACAATGCTTTGTTAAGATTGTTCTCCTTGAAAAATTTAGTAGTTCACGAAACTATTAGGTATATTGATAAATTAGTTTAATTAAGAGTTTCTGTTTTAACTTTCATCCAAGTAATTTCAATTTTTAAAATTGCTATAAAAGTTTATGAGAAGTTGAAATTTACGTATATTTTTTGCTTTATACTGAGCCAATAAATATTGAAGTAGAATCATCCCTGTCTTGCAGTCAGTTAACGAAGAATAAAGATAAAATGGCATCACCAATACACACCTTTAATATCATGGCTATTGGGGAATCTTCCATATAGGTTACACAAGAAGTCTTGAGCAACGATAAGGTTACGATATATTAGTCCTATTGTCTTACAAATAAGATAAATCCCCCCCCCCCAAAAAAAAGAACTAGCAAAGTGGTTTGTCAGAAAGTTTTAATTCAAGGAAGCTATCAGAAATTAGTAATATATCAAACATTTTGTTTCAAATTTTACTAATTCAAGTTTGTCTGTGGCTGGCTTATAACTGGCGAACCGCTGGGTCGATTGTCACCAAATCTGACATATAACCTATAAGTGTCATAGAAACTTCGGCGCTCGAATCTGGCTTCTTTTTCATATCTTTCCCATGCGTTTAACGGAAACATCAGCTAGTGTGTATATATATATATAGAAAACAACTGAATAATATTTTTAGTAAGTTTGTTCAAAACCAATAGAAGCACTGCACTAGCTTTATGCAGATATCTTAAGAGATATCCCAAATGACACTGAAATACAATTCGGTAAAATAAATTTTCTGTTCTGTATACAGCATCCAGTTCCTGAAATACACCCCTTTACATTTTAACCTCATCTACTTAAACAATTCAGAGTAATCATTTAAATAAAATATAAATTTATAAATTCGTAGCATGAAAACACTTCATCATTTTTTTTCTTTTCTTTTGCTCGTTTATCGGTGGCTCAGCGGTAAGCTTGACGGTTTATAATACTAAAATCAGAAGTTCATATCCTGCATTGGGCACAGTATATGTAGCCCATCCATGGCGTAGCTTTGGATTACAAACAAATAAACGTTGAATGTAGCATGTTACAACGCAAAATAACAATTATTTTGCGTTGTAATATGCCACCTTTAACGTAATATAACATTTGACTTACCACCTATAAAATATTTATATATGGTGCATATCTGATTAACTTTTAATGTTGGGTAGTGTATTAAGAATATATATATATCATTTGTAATTTATACTTTACAGTTCATTTTTCATGTTATTTCCTTAGCAGCTGCTGTGCAAAGTTTTGAACACAGTGTATCTAAAAGCTATATCACTGCCCTTACTCCTAAATTTCATTTAGTCGTGTTAGTGTCTATTTGTGCTTTGCGATGGGGGTAGAAGGGGAGGTAAAAGTCTTCTTGACGGGTAGTCCAAGGGTGATCTTTATGTTTTTTATTTTTTATAGTATGCACAAATGATACTTTCTTACAGCATTCAAATGATGAAATGCTGTCAAATCTGGTTTGTAAATGCTATCTGTCCACACTAAAGACAGGAAAGGAATTGCATCGTGTCTTGTACTAACTGTCCTCAATCGGAGTAATATATATCAAACCTGAATTAGTCAGCAAAGAGACTACAGGTTGCATACCGGACCTTGGAACAGAAACATGTTTCAAGTCACTGAAAGTATGATAGTCATGATGCCAAGTGATCGTAGCCAGCAACTTTTGTTCATGTCACTGTTAGCTAGCCGAAATGCTGTGAAGATGTAGATTAAATACTGCTTGTTGTGACGAGACGACCTAAATATATGTACTGATTGTTTGAAATAAAGAGAAATATAGATTAATTTCCATATTTAAAAAAAACAAAAAACTTCTCTTCGCTTATGAGCCAGGCGTGGCCTAGTGGTTGGCGTCCTTGACAGTGAATCTAAGGGTCCATGACTCGCATACCGAGGCTGTAAAAACTCGTTCAGCACTGTGGATCTTGGGTGCGTTGTAAGAGTGACGGTCAAATCACTGTATTCTATTAAAGTAGTCCAAGAGTTAGCAATGGGCGCAGTTGATTGGATAGCCATCTTCCCTCTAGCTATCAGTTCAACGTTTTGGACGGCTAACACAGATAGCCTTTGTGTAGTCTTGCGCGAATTTTTAAAACAAACTGTCTAAACTTTAAAAACTCTTCAATTATATAATATTTAGCTATAAAATTATGCTTTTAAATAATACAGGTAAAAATCAGATCCACTTCCTAAACTCAGTTTTAGTTCTTTAACTTCTATACTAGCACAATTTTCTTGGACTTACGACTTTTCTGTAAGACATTGTCAATCATGTAGTTATGAGATTTATATTTTGTGTTGGGTGTTATGCCCCATCACATGGCTATGTGAGGGTCTGTGGTCATTTTAAAATCATTGTGTATGTATTTACATATATATATAGAAGATATACACTTTAAAAAAGTCGTTTGTGGTTTAATAATATGGCCATCTATAGAATTGCTGGTATAAGAATGAAGATAACGTTCAGAATAAAGCTTAAGACTTCAGGTGTTTGTTTGTTTTTGAATCTCGCGCAAAGCTACACGAGGGCTATCTGCGCTAGCCGTCCCTCATTTAGCAGTGAAAGACTAGAGGGAAGGCAGCTAGTCATCACCACCCACCGCCAACTCTTGGGCTACTCTTTTACCAACGAATAGTGGGATTGAGCGTCACATAATAATGCCCCCACGGCTGAAAGGGCGAGCATGTTTGGTGTGACGGGGATTCGAACCCGCGACCCGCAGACTGTTAGTCGAGCGCCCTAACAACCTGGCCATGACGGGCCAACTTCAGGTGTAATTATACTTTGTTTAACTTACAGTCATATGGTAAAAAAAGAACAGGGCAGGAGAAGCATGCTACGGAAAAAGAAAAAACGAATTGAGGAAAAATGAAAACGAACGAATTAATGGAAAACGGATCAGTCAGGAAAAGTGGTTGAGAGTTTTATAGTGAAGCTAAGCCTAAGAAACACACTGAAAGAAAATTTGGTAACAATAAAAAAAAACAAAAAAGAAATTTGAATTGAAAGTTGGTATTTCGAAACAGCGTTTACCTGCATGAAAAACATGTTCATTAAAAAATAAAGATAAATGACATCTTTCTTCAATATTTCTGTTCATTCTGTAAATGGGGCTGCAAATGATTTCCTCCGGACCTGTTAGAGAGGTGTGTACAATTTAGCTCTGATTGCTATGAAACTACGTGTAACGCTTTGTGTTCTACTCTAAGTTTATTGGCTTCGCTTTAGGACTGATTTTTTTTTTTTGAGTTTCACATATTTTGAGCCGATAATTCTGTTTTATTTTTTAAATCAGTAACTTTCTTGTGTGAAGCGAAGTAGTTAAATAGTAGATTATTTAGGTAACTGTAAGAATTATGACTTCTTTGAGATATTCTTACAGTGTACATTGTCTTTGAACGACGCGTGAGGTGTTCAATATCTACATAAGAGTTAATGAGGTTAAAAAAGGGTTCACTTGATTGTGAATCATGTCTATATAAAAAGTGTCATGAGAAATCTGTGAAAGTTGTATTGATAAATGCTGTGTACTTTACTTTTTTACGTTGTCAAAGTTTACATAAGAGTTAATGAGGTTAAAAAAAGGGTTTACTTGATTGTGAATCATGTCTATATAAAAAGTGTCATGAGAAATCTGTGAAAGATGTATTGATAAATGCTGTGTATTTTACTTTTTTACGTTGTCAAAGTTTATTGGATGTTAATTTCAAGAGGTAGTCAAAATATATATTTTGTAAATCAACTTAGAAGCTGTCGATCACAAAAATGTGGTGGTTCAATAGATTTTATAACAAACGTATAGTTATAGATAAGTATACGGACTGACAGACAGATAGATATGTTTTTGAATATTATTTCTGTTATACAAAATATAACTGACTAATAGACCTACCATCTGTTGGATGTTTGTCTTTATATTTCGAGATACATTCTTCTGCTGTTAGAGAGCGTGGGATTGCCTCTTCAATACTAAAGTTACCAACTTTCATCTTGTCTGGTTCATAAGAGTCACTTCCGATCAGTGATGAGAATGGGAACTTGGGATCGGTTGACCTGTTTATCTATCCATTATTTTGGAGAGTATCTGACTGTCACAAGTTGTTATTTTCGAAACTATTAAGTGTTTATAACGTTCAAGCAGAAAATATACCAACTTACATTGTTTATCATAAAAAATCGAAGGTACATTATTACTTTCATGCGTAAGGAAGAGAAACAATTAAAACTAATCAACTGGAGAGCACTTGAAATCTTCCTTGTACGATAGAAAGACACTAGTTTATGGCATAACACTTTAGTACTTTATCTAATCTGTACGATGACTATAGTAATAGTGTGGCTCTGTTAGAGTACGTCCACTGATTACAAAGCGGTAATTCGTTCTTACCCACCTTTAATACGTAAATTGACAGGAGCCAATCAACGATAGCCTTCCGCTTTGGTATTGAAATTGCTGAATAACAGCAGTGTTTACTAAAGGTATATGTGCGATACAATCAACTCTCTTTTTATGAAACCATAAAATAATTGTTATAGATTAATCAAGTGCAAATCTAAATAAGAAAATGACAGGAAGAGATTGACAAGAAAAGACAAACTTATGGAAAAGCTAGATCATGCCAGCATTACAAGAACACACCAATCTTTGGCATGCAAGAAATTTTCTTTCTTTTTTTTTGTCGCTCGTTTAGTTAATAGCTCAAATTCTACTTGTCGGATTGCTTATAACCTTGGAATACAGGTTGCCCTTCAGACAAATCTGAGCTCAATCGGCATGCAGTCATTCTGGTAGCATCAGAAACATTACTTGGTAAACAGTTTCGAAAAAGGGCTAATACATCACGTATTGTATATTGTAAAGTATGCTAGGTTGCTCTAGGGGAGACACACATGCTCGTTGCGAAAAGATTTGGAAATGTACGTATTTAAGAGGTAATTTCAATTATAACATTGATTATCGTGTATGTGTAGGAAATCACAGCTTTACGTTTACGTGAGTTTATTTTGCTAGGATGGCTAGGGGGGTATAAGTGTAAAACCTGTATTATGGTTATCTCATAAACCCGAGACCAGTCTAAGTTGATTATCCAAAGCCTTGTTACTAGACATGACGAGATTCAGGTAACGTTTATTCTCTCTGTCAAATAAAGTAACGCAGGTTATTTAAAGTAAGAAATTAATATATACATGTGGAACACAAAGAAATTAGAATAAATTAACCCGGATGTCGATAATTGAAAACCAACAACCAATGATCTAGGAAAATTATCAGAATAAAGATAAAATATTATAAAACTTCAATATTAGACAAATCCCCTTAAGCAACACCTGAACTAATAGTATTGTACATAAAACATAGCCTCACAAGAAGCTGCAATATATCTTATGTTTATATATATATATACACAAAGGACATATTATTTTAATTAGTCAAGGGATTCATCATAAGGGCTGTCCCCTGAAATACTTGTATATTGAAAAACAACAGAATGGCAATGATAATGACGAGGGCTCTTAATGATCCCAAACACAATAGTTCGTTCTTATATAATGAAGTACATATAGAAGAGTACAGCGGTAATGAGACCTTTTACTTCAAACAGGCATACTGTACGTGATCCATCAACACAAACTCCTTGTTTATGACTTATAAATGTATCTGACTTACACTGTTTTTAAGTATCAAAAGTTGCATTAGATTAACTCAGCCAGTTCAGAGCATCCTTCTTCTGATTCACTTTTGTAAAATTCCAAGCGAAGAGGACATATATTTCAGGAAAATAAATAAATATCAAATAGAACTGATCTCAGAGTGATTCATAATGTATAATAAACACGTCCAAGGAGTATCCTACATCTGTGGAACTTTACTATTATAATTCCACGTTGCTATAGATATATATTTTAGACAATACAACTGTTTCGAAATTTTCGTTTCTGTGCTGCTAAGTTTCAGTGCTGATGATTTAACACCAAGTAAAATGGTACATTGTATTATTGGTGGGTAATGAACGATCTGCATATGTCGGTTCTTTCAAATTACCTAAATTCAATGGAAGCACAAGCTCAGTAGTTCGTATCATCCATTCAGCGGTGACTACAATTAATAAATGTCAATTTGTTCTAAAAACGACTTTGGACATTTTTGTACAATTCCAACACATGAACATTTTTGTATTTATTACACTTTGAAGTAATTAGTGTCATTGGAGGGTCCCATGCCCAATGTTCAGCGTAACCAGCAATATCAAAATTCAACACTCCTAGTAACCGTTATTATGTTCTCTCTCTGGTTCACGCACTTCGCGACGGTTCGACATCTTGTATACTCCCTCAACAACAGTTAGCTATTTATTTGTCTCTATTTGAGCACCGTAGCCAGAGCAAATATTCTTAGATTTTAAGCTATAACTTCCACTTATATATATGTGAGTGAAAGAGAGAGAGTGAAGGAAACCAAAAACATGAGCGAGGACACGACCTCGGTGTCCTCATAGCCAATTACGTCCTTGCTCTATATTATGACTGTGCTCCTTCGCAACATGTACAATAGGTAAGCTATATCACTTGTCGCTAACGTAACAAAAGACGAAATCACGAGATTCAGAGAAAACTAAGTGATTGTGACTGAACATAACTCTGAAGAATCGTTGCCCTTTTATTGATATTGTTATTGTAAAATGTGTCATATACAGTGAATTCTATAGTAATTTTCAACAAAAATACTAAGTATATGAACTTATATAATAATGTTTCAACAAAAATACTAAGTATATGAACTTATATAATAATGTTTCAACAAAAATACTAAGTATATGAACTTATATAATAATGTTTTAACAAACATACTAAGTATATGAACTTATATAATAATGTTTCAACAAAAATACTAAGTATATGAACTTATACAGTAATGTTTCAACAAAAATACTAAGTATATGAACTTATATAGTAATGTTGCAACAAAAATACTAAGTATATAAACTACTACAGTAATGTTCAACAAAAATACTAAGTATATGAACTTATATAGTAATGTTGCAACAAAAATACTAAGTATATAAACTACTACAGTAATGTTTCAACAAAAATACTAAGTATATGAACTTCTATAGTAATGTTTCAACAAAAATACTAAGTATATGAACTGTAGCAATTTAAAACTAGATAGTCCATCAAATATAGTAATATACATAATTCGTTGTATGTTAACATTTTGGTTTTTCGTTTGATTTTGATTATGATATATTTTTGTCATGAATACTCCAGGTTTAGTGTTCTAATCAAGCTGCTTATCTAAGTAAAAATCCAAGATCTGAAGAGTATGACTAGGCAAATAAACATTAAAATTGTTTGAAACTTGAATAAAGCACGCCTCATTAAAAAGTTACTGGAATATAATTCTAAAAGTGCCAAATCACTTACAGATCGTGATTCTCTTTACTTGAGCACCAAAGAAATAATTTAGTACCTAACGTGAAAGGTAGAGTGATAAGTAACGAAAATGTTACATCTAGCATAGATACAAGTTCCAGTCGTTATAAACTCGATGTACTTGCGCAGGGTCCCCGAAAGTGTTCTATTTCAAGAGTAAATAAAACCACTAAGAGTAACAAATATTTCTATTTCTTATTTTAAAATTCATATGTTATGTTGTGCTGTAGACTACAGAGTGCATAATTCTTATCGTGATTCAATGTCGTAGCTAGGACGCACACATTGAGGGCGCAATGACAAACTCAAAGGGTGCGAGTACATTGTAATCATTTTCAGTTTTCGTTATAACTTTTTGTTATCAGTTATTGATGTTCCTTATTAATTCATAAGCGAATTCACTCATGAAAAAGTCTTTTATATGCGACAACAATTAATTTATAATTCTTATTTTATTAATAAAACCAACGATTAAGGTTGCATCGATCAATAACAATTTATTTGAAATCTGACGAATCCGAATAATCCACGTCAGCGGTATGCAGCCGTCGATGCGGTAAAAAACACAAAAGCCGAAAGCATAAGAACAAATATATTTTATTTTATAAATATTGATTTACAGCAACTATTACTTCGGTTACCTTTTTTGATTAAAGAGTTAGCACAAATGATCACATATAAAGTGTAATAGGCTTAACATAAGACCCAAAACTCGAGCGCTTTCGAATAGTTGCCTATTCTTCTTCTTTTTTTTTTCTTTCTTATATTTTTCTAGTTGTTCTAGGGAGGGTGATACAAGAAAATCTTGATAATCAGACATGATCAAGTCATGTTGGCACTGATAACTATAAATTCAATTGATTTAAATTTTAATTTAGATCGAATTTTGTCTCTGATTCAGATCCCGGGCGAGCCCCCAATTTATTAGTGTTACGTATTAGAATTTCAAATGGCCTGAAATTGAGTTAACTGATAAATTTAAATTCAGTAGTTAAATTATACTTTGGATTTAGTATTTAAATGAATGCCGATATATAGTCAGTTTATGATATTTGCCAACAAGATTGATACACACCATTTTCGTTTTTAACACAAATACGTTTTCATATACACACAACAATATAATTTACAATAACAATTATTACAAATAGTTATTACAAACAAAGACTTGTAGACAAAAGTTTCACAAATTTACAAACAATACAAAGTTTTCTTTC